AACGTCTTACAGTTAGCATGATTCAACATTATACAAGAAAAAGATCATGCTGCTGAGTTTGTTTTAAGTGCTCCAATTTGTAATTTAATGTGACAGAATCACAAGGAAATGAAAAACGGAGACACAGATACACATGGCCCTTTGATACAGTGAGGTTACAGCAGTTTGAAAACAGATTGATTTAAGGGTAGTTTTAAGTAGCAATCGGTCAGTTCAGAGCACTGCTGCGTTTTATTTGCCTTCGGTGTATGTCGTGTTCATGGTCTCCACTGTCTTGATGAGAACAGGGCCTGACCTTCGTCTCTGCATGGTAACGGGCACAGCTGTGGAGAAGTCGGAAAAAGGTGTCGCTTAGGTCTCTGAGACGAAGGCTATTCTTATGATCTCATCTTTATTTGTAAAATACAGTGCTGTACTTACTTTGGTTGGGCACTGTTTGGACACTGAGCACTCTTTCAGTGCCATCAACACAGTCGTTACTGGCAACAGCTGCTGAAAAGAAGACAGAAAAAACAGAGAAGAGGGTGTCACTCTGATCCCTGAGATGAAGGCCATTAAGATGATCTCATCTTTATTTGTAAAATACAGTACTGTACTTACTTTTGTTGGGCACTGTTTGGATGCTGATAACAGAGTCTTTACCAAGTCTGTCAGGGTGAAAGCAGGAAATACATTATAGAGCTGTGCAATAAACCTGCCTCATGTTTAAGATCCAGCAAAGAAAGACAAGTGGTAAACCAAATTACCCAAAGTAATTGTTTTACCACTTTGTTTTTTGTCTGCCATAAAACTGGAAGACAGACTTCCAATAAACCATAAATCTCATCTACGTGTTACTTGTCAAAGTCTGGTTCTGGATGTGGATTGGGCTTTGCAGATTGGATGTAGATTTGTCTTTCAAACTTGCACCTGAAAGGCCGCTCTGCTCTACGACTGCAGTTATCACCAGTTGTCAAATACCTGTGGGTGTTTGCTGCATTCCACCCCCTGGGTTCAGTTCTTTATTGTTTAATGCAACGCACCGAGGTGAAGTATTTGAATAGTGAGACAAATATGTGGTTGTGAAACTATTAAAAACAACCAAACCAAACAAATAACTTCTTGTTTCTGACTGAGGCTTTTGGCTCAAGGTGGTGTTTTTTTGTTTTTCTATACCACACCCAATTTCCATCTAAATTGTCGGATGACAGATGGCATGCACGTACAGTAGTTCATACAACCAAAAATATCAGTACTGATTAATATGTTTTAATCATTTTCTGAATCACTGTAGACAGTTTCCAAGCTGAAACCTTACATCAATGGTCATCCATCCATCCATCCATCCATCCGTCTGTCCATCTATCCATCCATCCATCCATCCATCCATCCATCCATTTTCTTCCTTAACACATTGTTGCCAGCAACCTCCTAAGTTCTGCTGGCTTACCTTTCTTCCTCTCCCTCCAGGAGTTTCCTGTAGGTGGAGATCTCGATATCCAGGGTCAGCTTGACATTCATGAGGTCTTGGTAGTCTCTGAGCTGCTTGGCCATGTTATGCTTGTCCTGCCCCAGAGCCGCCTCAAGGTCCTTAATGCGACTTTTTGCATCTATTACAGCCTGTTCCCCTTGCTCTTCCATATCAGATATGCTTACTACATTGTGGGAATACTTACAAAGAGAAAAGCTTTATTTAAATCTGAGCTTCACAGTGATTCCTGATGATTTCGTAAAAATTGGGGGGTTTTGTGTGGGTTATGGTAACAGGAAAACCAAACTGCTTTTTCAGAGCAGCTAACAATAACTAAATGTATGCAATTAGTCGGTCAGTTTAAGATGAAAAAATATTTCCTTTGATTTGTTTTCAGTTTCCTTTCTTTTTATGAGAACAGGAGCTAAACCTGTTGTTCCTCTTGATACTTGTTAAAATCCAGTTTAAGATCAAACAGACTATGAGGTAGTCTTAAAGCCCTTCACTCACCTGTTCCTTCATAACATCAATCTCAGTCTGCCGACGAAGAATCATTCGCTTAAGCTCAGCTATTTCGGCCTTAGTGTTTTGCAGCTCGCTGTTATGTTGCTGGACCTGCACTTTCATCTGATCAAACTGGTGTGGAAAAATATCAAACAGCGAGACAAGGATGTAAACACAGTAATTATTGGGTTAACAAATGCCGTTTTGACGTTGTAGTAGATTTATGAGCGGTAACTTCTGAGCCCTTTTCATGTCTCTATGCCCATTTTCCTAGTTGGTTTATTACATCGACAGTAAAGAGCAAGAATTCATCTTAGACCTTCACCTTGCTCTTGTACCACTTTTCAACTTCTTCACGGCTGTAAGCAGCAATTTCTTCATACTGAGCCTTAACATCAGCTATAATGTGGTCCATGTTCAGGCCGCGGGTGTTGTCCATTTGCACCACCACAGAGGTGTCCTTCACACGCTCCTGCATGTCATACAGCTCCTTATTTAAAACAACACATACAGCGAAAGTTAAGAGGAAAAAATCCAGAATATAACACCTAATGTGATTCACTGATTTAAATTCTGAAAAGGTTTTTAATGTAAGCTTGTTTACCATCTGATACACTTCTTTGAGGAACAAGATTTCATCCTGAATAGCTGTCGACTGGCTTTCCAAATTCATCTTTCTCATAAATTCTTCATCCACATTCTGGAGGCAACAGAATAAATAAACAACTTTCCTTTTCACTGCTATTTTGTTTTTTATTACTTACAAATAAAAGTATTAGTGTCATTGCATACTGCACCTTTTTGAGCAGTACAAAATCATTCTCTGAAGTGACCCTGCTGTTGGTCTCTTCCTCATACCTGAAACACCCACAAATATCAAATTACACACAGACAGACACCCACACACACACACACACACAGAGTTCTTATCACTGTCCACTTTATTATCATATGTCAAAGCTGAGCTCCTGTTTAGCAGTGGTTTGATTTCTTCTACCAGGATACCTTACTTTGTCTTGTAGTCTTCCACAGTCTTGACCATGGCTGTGCACTCATTTTCAAGCCTCACTTTATCGTGTCTGCAAAGCTCCAGCTGTTTTTCCAGGTTGGAAATGAACGTCTTAATAATGGACTCCGCATCATCGGAGGAGGGGGCGCTTTGCTGATTCAGGAGATTCCACTTGGTTTCCAGCACTTTGTTCTGCTGCTCCAGCTGTCTGACCTGACACACGAGAAGGGATACGAACAAATTCCAACACAGTCCCACTTTAGGTTTTAAAGGAAGCTTCAAATGCCACCGATTTAACTTGGAATGGTTTATAATAAAAAAGATTTTAAATGTGACAGTAAAATTTCCTCTTACCTTTTCGATGTAGGAGGCAAACTTGTTGTTGAGAGTCTTCAGCTGATTTTTCTCCATGGTGCGTATAGTTTGGAGGGTGGGGTCAACTTCTAAGTTTAGTGGGGCAAGCAGGCTCCTGTTGATTATTACTGGTTTGATATCAGTAGCGGTGCTGATTTGGCTGATGGAGTTGGATCCCATGGAACTACTGCTGAATCGCCCTGAAGGTGAGTTCAACAGGCTCTTGCGCTTGCTCCTCAGACTCATGGTGCTGTTGAGTTTGCACTGCTGGAAAGGATGGAGAGCTCAGCTGGTAGAAGTGGTGGTATAGCTCTGTTGTGCACGTTTTATCTTTTTGGCTGCTTTATAAGGCAGAACTGGGCGTATTGTGATAGTGAAGTGATTGAATGTGGGTAAACCAGTCTGACACATACCTCGTGCTCTCCCACCTACCCCTCACTTCAAAGAAGCAACAGGAAACTATTCCTGCTCCACAGCTTCAGGTGAGTTCCGTAACAAACTAAAAGTCTGCACTCACACAGTCACTCAGTAAATCAAGAAGTCATCAAGAAAAATAAAATATTCCCTGTTATGAATAAAGAAAGATTTTATTTAACATAATGAACTGCAGAGCCACAAGTTTTTAATGTAAATTTAAGTCAATACATGCAGAAAATACTTTCAGTAGGCAATGTTACTTTCGGAAATGTTCTCAAATATTATAATATGCATTACACACTGGAAACTACATGCACATCAGTGGACCTCGTAAAACCTCCCTTAACTGAAAGATAAAGTCTGAAGTCCTGAAATTCTAGTAGTACGTTTAATACAAAAGTCACAAATTTTCTGGAAAACTGTTATTTTTCTTCTTAAGGTACTAAACTAGTAAATATGATTGTAAGAGAGTAAAGTCAAAAAAGTACAAGAAAAACCTTACCAACTAACTACATTGGCTTACATGAATAGATCGCCCTCATAACCTCACACACTCCACCCATTAACAGGAAGTTCCTTACTTGGTTATTATGGACTAAAGTATTTCTTTATTTCTATCTTTGATTGATCTCCACTGCTGCTGCCTATGTGCTGTGATAAATTTGACACAGTTATGACAGTTATGATTACAAATTATCAACCATGGGGCAGGGTCGGGGGTTTGAATCCACCGAACGGCTACCCTGAGGTACCCCTGAGCAAGGTACCGTCCCTACACACTGCTCCCCGGTGTGGCTGCCCACTGCTTCACTAAGTGAATGGGTCATGCAGAGGGAGTAATTTCCCCACTGGGATCAATAAAGTACATATTATTATCCTATGGAACAAAAGAGGAAAATAGTTTGATTTAAAAATTTACCACACTTAAATTAAATGTGTTTTCACTAATGTTAATAGAAACCAGTTGTACTAAAAAAAGGAAACCTGTCTGTTCTCTTGTTTGTTTTTCAAATCCTCCCTCTCTCCCTGCGCGTCCAATTATCCAATCATCGCTTTCCTTTAAGCAAACAACTACTGTACAAGGAAAAATGTTCTCACATAACCAGATTTATAAGGGTTTGTTTTTATGACACTGAATCTGTGCCACCCGCTCAACATTTCATCAGAGGTGAATAAAGTCAAGAGAACAGAGTGAGCGTCATGCGTATACTTAAAATGTTTTTTGCATGACACTGAATATTTCCTTCGGGTCTTCCTTTGACAGAAATGAAGATTGCTTCATTCAATGCACAGAGGTTTGGACTGACTAAGGTCTCAGATCCAGCGGTCCTGACAAGCCTGGTTAAGGTAAAACATTTCCCGTTGGCGTTAGCGAGGCAAACCAAAGAATGAAATGGCTGATATGAACTCTTTAAATGAAGACACAGTGTAGAGTAAACACATCACAAAACATGTGTAATGCATTTCTTCTTTGGAAATTTGTTGTCAATGTCACTCACTCATGAGTGTTGGGAAACAGTCATTATCAAGTGTGAAAATGAAAACTGGGAAGTAGCCAGGTGCATTATCGCTTCTCATTCCTTCTGCTTTTATTATCATTGACTCAAAACAACCCCAAAACAACAAAAAACAAACAAAAACAAAACAAAACAATAACACTGTTTGCACTTATTTTATTAACAAAGCTTATTTGTTGTAGATTGTGTGTCGATATGACATCATAGTTATTCTGGAGGTGGGGGATGTGACTGGAGATTCTGTTAGAGTGTTAGTGGAAGAGCTGAACGGGTGAATTTACTTAAAAAAAAGATTTTCTGACTAAAGTAAAACTGCCTCTTCCTATAAGTATGCTTACTTTTACTGTTGTCTACATCTCAGGGTCAGCACCACCCATCACTATGCTCAGCAGCTCAGTACCCGTCTGGGAAGGAGCAAGGAACAAGGAACAGTTCCTGTTTCTGTACAGGCAAGCTCAAATAATCCCACATAAAGCTGAACAGCTCTATAGAATAATTTTTTTGTCCTGCTGGAAGGGACGATGTGGTCGACCTTATCGATTGCTATCAGTATAAGGATGACCAGGTCGATGATGTAGATGCATTTAAAAGAGAGCCCTATATTCTCTACTTTAAAACTCATAACACAGGTCAATCTTTGCCCCTACTGAAGCTTATGGTACCTGGTTCAGTTAGAACAAGGAGTTAGGTCTGTGTGTGTACATGTTAGTCAGTTGCTGGGACATCAGCAGTATGTATGAGTCATTTTTAACCGTGGATCTGTTTGTTGAATGAGTCTGATGCAGTGTGACATGCTAATTACAGCAGACTGCAGCAGGTTTATCAGGTTTAGTGTCTTGTGTGAGCAGGGGAATATGTTTAACTTACAGTATGTAACTACAGAGGATGTTATTGGAGTCAAGTTTACAGAACTTTTTCTTTTGCAGTGTGTCAAACTTACACTGCATTTCCAAACAAGTTAGCATGAGGGTAAATTACATAGTATCTGACTGCTGATACACCAAGCTGCTGAGGTCAGCACGCTGATAAAACATGAGGAAAACTGTGAAGTCTCTTAAAACAGTGCTCCTTAATGAAAGAACAGGAAGTGTTTTGGACTGTTCGCTACTTAGGGTGTGTAAAATAATAATAATAAGTAATAGTAATAGTAATAAGTTTTACCAGTACACTGAAAAGCAATCCAGGATTTTGGAGCAAACTACCAACGTACTCAAAGGAGCTTGCAAAGAAAAGCGTCTGGCAACGTACTCCCTTCATGCAAACTGCGTTTTGCATGAATCACAAAGGCATGGCTGCGTAAAAGGCATGACGTGTGCACCTGCCTGCCTCCCGTCAACACTTCTATTCAATAGAGAAGGTATCTTTGCAGGAAGAATAAAAACAATTGAATCACTGGATCTCTTGGTGTTTTTGACCCTTAAATGTCATTTAGCATTGTGAAAAAGAGTGGATATAATAAAGAATAGTGACATATACTCGCCTGTCCCAATATTTGCATTGTTGCATGTATCAGAATCAGTCATATCTGTGTGACGAAACATTCTCAGTGCAATACAGGCCAAAGGTAATTTGCAAATCACTGCTTTCAGTTGGAACTTAAAGTTACGCCCCACATTTGTTGTGATTAGATGTTATTCTTGTTTTGATGTTTTAGTGCAGTGTAGCCTCTGTGAAGGAAGTTGGCATTTTTGAATTCAGTTTTCATTTTTGAACTGAGTGTGTCATGAATTCAGTGGTTTCTCACATACATCTGCTTTAAAGATTTTGTAACTGATCTATACATTTGGGGTGATAAAAGGTCATGAAATCTTACATCAAAGTTTAAAAGGATGGGGCTTTGGGACATCTTCACTTTTCTTATTGTATATAAATAACAGCAATAATGAACTGATTTTACTAACACTTAGAATCTTTTGGTCCAAAGCCCGAGTTCAGCTTTTGTTTTTTGTTTATTTTACCTAATAAAGCTTAACTTGTATTTACAGACTGGTCTATAGCTAGACCAACTATGATGTTTGAAATTAATTTGAACTGTCTGAGCAACAATCTTTACCAAAACTGGTGCACACAAAAACCGGGTCTTAGTGTTTCTATGTTTTGTAACAGCAAATTAAAATTGGAGTTGAGTTAATATCTCAACAACCTTTTGATCTGCGATCAAAAACAAACTGGTTACATGGACCACAGACTGTATTACAGAACTGGATTTTGTCTTTTCCGGGTAACCTCAGGGTTAACCCTGGGTTTGTGTGGGTTAGTGTGAAGGTGGTTCACTTGTTATCTCTGTAAATTGCCATAGTAACATAACCTGCTCCAGAGCAGATTATGTTCCAGATTAGAGATCAGCGAGTAGGAAATCAGCGATTTCTGATCCGAAATCGATTCTCTGAAAAAGCATTGCCATCCCTGGAAAATCCCTCAGAAATCTGTGTGTGAACAGTAGGAGTGTTAAAGTTTTTCAGTAGCGTGTAATGTCTTCGTGTTTCCCTGATGATCAGGAAGAAAAGAGGCAATTTTATTCTTAGATATTTTTTTTCTGACTATGAACAATTTTACAACAGTTTTATTGTTTGATAAGCCTCAGCACACAATCTTAAAACAGATAACCTGATTGTATTTGCTGACTTTCCGTTCAATTTGCATAGAGAGTAATTTTGAATGCATGTTTTCATATTTATCTTCAGGATATTTGATTATAATCCTTCAGATTCTCCTCTGTCTTAAAGATAGGGTTGAGTCTGTTCACTTGCACAGTTAGCCAGCTTTCTTATCAGGCTTTGCAAAGCGCATTTATTCAATGTTGTTAAAAGAAAACAACTTTACAGTAATTTTCATCTTACTTTTAATAAGAGTGAAAACAGGAAGTGAGAAAGTAACTCAGAACCGTCAATCTACTGCATGAACACACACACACACACACACACACACACACACACACACACACTTTTCTGTTAAAGTGTGTTTATTGTGTTTTTTCTCCTCCCAGAGAGTACAGGGTGACATGTTGAGAAAAACTTCAACTTATCATCTGCATAATAAAACAAAAGCTTGCCAAATACCAGATGGAGAAATAACCAAGCTTAACCAAGTTTTTTTTTCTTTTTAGGATTCTGAATTAATATTGTGACATACAGTACAATACAAAATAAATAAATATGCGTGTAATGCGCGTATTGCCTCTGTCTGTTACTGAACTGCATGACACAGCACTGTGGCCTTGTATGCCTTGGCTTGGCCTAGTTAAGAGCAGGGGCGATTCTAGGATCAGAGCTTTGGGGGTGCTGAGCACCCAGAGAGCTGCCCAGCCAGGCAAGATAAAC